GCGAATTGCATAGCTGTTGTACTGTTTGGGTTGAAGAAGAGAAAGTGTCCGAATTAGAGTTCTATTCGCCATTAGAAAAGGACCCTGAATTACCTGGAACAACACAACTTCTCTATTGCCAAGTTTAAAGCAGTCGAGTAACACGCAAATCACACAATTTAATAAAAAGCTATTTAATTAACATGAAGAAGAAAAAAAGTTAATTGAAGTTCTCGACTTAGAACACAAGCAGCTGAATTTCTTAGAAGCTTTTGCCTAAAAAAATTATGAATACATTTGCTACTCACGCAAAAAATAAAACAACACAGAAACAAACCGTTGAAGATTTCAGATACAATCGCTTTTTTTGCTAATGAAGAATTTACAAATGTTACAACACCACGTTTTGGATCATCATACAATTTTATGTTTTTTATTATTCCAACAGCTTCAAATACACTAATCAAATATTCTTGTGATGTGTTTTTTTCTTTTTGGTAGATTATCTATGAAAATAGCATTGGAACGATGTGGCGCTAAATAACGACAAAACAAACCAAGATTGTTTAAATAAAATTTTCTTTATTGTCTTCCACAGAGCTTTTGTCTTAGTCGTTCCAAAAAACAGGATTAAGACTTAGTTTTTTCTTAGTTTTTGACAAAAACAAAAGAATCAAGACTTAACTTTTTTTTGTCTTAGTTTTGGTCGTGTAAAAAAGAGAATCATGACTTTGTAACAAAAAATACAAAGGAAAAAGAGAGAAAACCCAGCTTTTAGTTTTCTCTGTATTGTATTTTTTCTTGTTCTTTTTAATTTGTGATTGGTTCAAAATGTGTACACATCCTATAGGCTATAATTGTACGTATACGTATTTTCTTTCCTGTTCTGCATGAAACTGAATGAATATGTAGAAAAAAAAGCTATATAAAACTTTCTTGCCTTCATTATCATTGTTGGTTGTTAAAGTGATGATCACCGAGTTTCGTGCTAATTGACTTGATAATGGTGGTAATACTGACTGTGTGCTTTTTTGAGTTAAAGAATGGGAATTAACTTGAACTGTTGGTGATGGTGATAATGATTGACTGTTACTGAATGAATGTAAATTTGAAATTTCGTTCTTACATTCTTCCAACGTTCCTAAAAACATGCAAATAAAGAAAACATCGTTCTTAACGTTGGAGAGCGAGAAAGACGGGAGAAAACATACCATGAAACATTATTTTTCCACTCGCTTTTCTCGTTCTTGCAACATAAATGCATAATCATTTGATACAACGATACGATTAGTCGTGTTCTTTAGACTGGAAGTGGGGACAATATCCAAGCTGCCAGTCGGCCATGACACGACGAAATAATCTTTTTGTGTTGAATTATCAGCTGTCTTCTTTGGTGAAGACGCTTCTAAAAAGTTGATATTCATGAGAAATCTGTTCGCAAGGGTCCTATTTAGGTTTAGACTCGTCTTAGGAGAAAAAGCTGAAGCTGCCAACTTTCTTTTAGTTCTGCTTTTTGCAGGCATTGTGATCTGAAAATACATGAACAGAGGCAAGCAAGATAAGCCTAAAAATTCGACTTTAGAGACGGTTCCGACTTTTGAGCTTGTTTTTCCAGAGCTTTTTCTTCACACCCACGCCAAAATCTTTTGCTAACCACACTAGTCAACATTCAGATGTATGTATCTGCACTGTTTCTGAAATCAGTATTTTTCAGTCAAGAATCTAAGTAGATTTTGGGATTCTAGCCCTGGTTCTGAATACAGATGAGTTTTCTGTAAACAAGATGAAACTGCATTTTTCGCGCATAGTTCGACCGATGCACCAGTTGATCTTTAAAACTGGGTATTTTCTGCTCTATTAGACCATTCCAGCAGCTCGGGCTTAATTTCAATATAAAGAGCGCTCGAAAACTAAATTGAAAAGCCTAAAGTTTTACTATAATTTTACAACTTTTGTAATTCTGACAGTTAGATATTTAAGAATTTGCTTCATGACTGAAATCTCTGGTCAGAAACTTCAGTCATGAAACGGGTACGTCTTTCTTGACTGGAAGTTCCTGAACAGATATTTCAGTCTTGATTCTAATTATAAAGGGTGTATACTAAGTTCTGACCCGCTTTGTAAATTGACGTTATTTATATGAAATACATGTGATACATTTCAGCTGTTTTTTGCAGAAGATTCATCATTTAATTCTCTACAAAATGGTATAT